CTAATCCTAAAAACTGCAAAATGATTATTTATTCCCATTTTAAGGTTCAGGAATCTGAGATTAAGAGAGATTAATAAGCAATTTGCCCAACCAAGAAGCCAATAAAGAACCCGGTTCAAACCTGCCTGTCTGAGTCAAGGCTATTCTCTGGCTACTCTCCCACGTGCCTTGCTCCATGTGGTGAAGGAGCTGCCACCTTTTTCCACCTTCCATTCAACTACTGAGTGCTTTTGAAGCCATTACCTATGTGACAAACTTCCACGGGATCCACCATTTTATGATGAAACTCCAAGTAACTTGGCAGTCAAATAAATTACAACTCATTTGCACCATGGTAATTTCGTAACATCCACAACCATTAAGGATAACATTAACGGTAGCACACTGAGGCCTGACGCACACAGCAGACAAGCTAAGTTATATACAAATAAAGATAAATAAGATCTATCCTCAACGTTTTCCACTAAAAAAGTGCAAGAAAACTATAAGGATACCATTTAAACTGCTCCATTTAAAAAAGGAAATCAGTCACAGACTTTGGTGCTTTAGTACTGAACTATTATTAGAAGCTTACTATGTACAACACTCCCCTGAACTGAGACACAACTGGTGCACTTTTCGATAAGTCAAGATACCAGGAATGAGAACTGCTCATACTGCCTATGACCATACCACCCTCAATGCGCCCGATCTCGGAAGCTAAGCAGGGTCGGGCCTGGTTAGTACTTGGATGGGAGAACTGCTGACATAAAATACAGTGGAACACGAAGAAAATGGCCCTTGGTGAAAGAAGGCAGGGGTCAGGAAAAGCTTTAAAGAGAAAGTAATGCTTCAGTTGTCCTTAAACAGAGTATTTTCTAGAAGTTATGTTCTTACAGAGGGAATAGCATGTTTGCAGATCATGGAGCCCCACCCCTCACACTCTCTGCCCCACTGGCCTCCTGTCCTTCCCTTCCTGCTCCATTAAAAAAAAAAAAAAAAAAAAGATCACGGAGGGCCTTGTAAGCCAGATGTGTAATTGGAAGGATCTGCTGGAAGTGTGGGAAATGGACTTAATTAAAGAAGCACCTGTGCTTAAAGAGAACCAGGGAGCTCCATTAAAGAAGATATTTCAGCTGAGTCTCAAAGAGTGAGGCGGAGTTTTGTAGATCTCAGTAATAACAGTAATAATAATAAACACTAACACAGCACTTACTGTATGCCGGGCACTATTATAAGACTTTAATACATATTACCTCATTTAATCTTTATGACCACTCCGTGAGGTAGGTACTATCATACTATTGATTCCAGCCAGAAAGAAAAGGTGCATGCAAAGGCATAAAGACGAAAAGTGGCAAATTCAGGGAATACAGTATCTAGCAAGACTGAACACAGAAAAAATGTTGCAGGCCATGCTAAGAAATTGATCTTTATCTTCCCTAGGCATGAAGTTTTTTAGTAGAGGAATGGCATGCTTAAGGCTTGTGCTTTTAGAGAGATGATTTAGGCTACATCGTTGAGGATAAATGGCAGGGGGAGGGCTCAGGTATGAGATAAAAGAGGATTGGAACCTAGAGACCACTAAAGAGGTTATTGGAAGAATCTAGACAAGGGAGCAGCAATAAAACAGGAAGACCTGAAAGATTTTTTTCCCAAAGGACTTGGTGAATAATGGATGAGAAGTGAGAAAGTCCAGAAAGATTCCAAAGTCCTAGCTCAAGAAATGGGTAAGCAATAAACAATTTAAGACATAAAGAAGGCTACAGAAGGAGTGGGTTTGGGAGACAGATAATGAATTTAAGACATGCTAAGTTTGCAGCACCTGTAACAATTCTGGGTAAATACATCTAACAGGCAGTTAAGAAACAAATCAGGAGCCCACAAAAGTGATGTGAGATACAGATACAAATTTGGGAGTTATCAGAACACAGGCAGATTTCAAAGCCATGAGGGGAGATAAAGAGATCACACAGGAAGAATCTGTAGAGTGAAAAAAGGATCAAGTTTTGAAACCCAATCAACACCAAATTTAAGAAGAGCCAACTAAGACAGTGATTAGAGATTCAGTGATCACAAGACAGAAAAATCAGGCATTGAAGTAAAGGTTTTAAGAACTGGGTGGCCAACACTGTCAACTCCTACAAAGAATTCGAATGAGGCTGAAAAAAATAAGTCCACTGAATCAGTATGTAAGGAATCACTGGTAACCTTTGTCAGGGTAATTACAACAGTCATAAGAACAGTGGACTTAAATGTGAACAAGAAATGATAAAGTCCAGACTGTTAGCAGGAACAAAATAAAGCTAACAATTACCAAGTCCTTACTTTGGGGTCAAGGGCTATTCTAAGTGTTTCCTGTATACTAACTCATTGCTTCTTTTACAATCTCCATGCTTAAAAAACCTCCTTTGTTTTCGTGATTTTACAGAGAAGAAAATAGAGGTAGAGAAGTTAAACAATTTGCTCAAGATCACACACTGCCTAACAACGGAATTGGGATTTTATTCCTGGCAATATGACTACCACTGCCATGGTAATAAACTATTCTTTGCAAAATTGGGCAATAAAGGAAGAAAAGTGAAACAAAATGTATTGAGTTGTTACTACATGACAGATATATATCTCTAAGGTGGAAACACTGAAAGAGGAGTAGCTTGAAAGCCAAGTCAACTTTGGTTTTGTTTTTTGTTTTAGCCTTAGAGAGACATGAGAGTTGCATGCAGCACAGAGGAAACAGGTAGTAGAAAGGATTAAAGCACGGTTTCTCAACAGGCATAGAGGCTTACACCTGTAATCCCAGCTACTTGGGGGGGCGGGGTGGGAGGATGGCTTGAGCCCAGGAGTTTAAGGCTGCAGTGAGCTATGGTTATGCCACTGCACTCCATCCTGGGTGACAGAGCAATACTCTGTCTCTGGAAATAATAACAATAATAATAAAGCAGGGTTTCCTGATGTCAGCACTGTTGGCATCTGGGGCTGGATTATACTTGGTTGTGGGAGGCTGCCCTGCACATTGTGAGATGTTCAGCAGTATCCCTGTTCATCCATCCACTAGATGCCAGTAGCGCCCCTCCCTCCCAATTGTGACAACCAAAAATATCTCCAGCCATTGCCAAATGCCCCCTAGCAGGAAAAACTGCCCCTAGTTGAGAATCACTGGATTAAAGTAAGAAGGGATCATGGAAAGAGCAAGTTCTGGATGAAGGAATAGAACCAAAGGTGCAAAATAATGTCTGTACAAAGTGGCAATAACTGCTAATGATGATCAAACACAAAATTAATTACCTTTATGTCTGGATCTGACAACTGGTTCTTCAACAACTCAAAGTCATTTGTTTCACCCTAAAGGAGAAAAAAAAGTTATGCTTGCTTTGGTTTCCTATTAAATATCAATAGCAGGACTTTTAACTATACCTTAACAACTGGTGAAATTACAAAAGGAATGTTGTAACTTTCACACATCAATGGCAGATTTTAAAATCATGACTACAAAAATTTAAATTCATGTTAGCTGAGCCGGGGGCTTGAAAAAAGAAAATGCAACAACCAAAAAGTCATTCATATTTAGCTATATTTGTGCACTGACATTTGAATATGATAGTTGATACTCCTGAGAATTCTCAAAAAGCATGAGGGAAAAAAACTGCTGTAATGATCTTATTCAGAAGGAACTGAAATAGTATCCATTCATAAATATGGATGTAAATGGATACTATATATAAACGTACAGTCATTTACATTTTTCCTCTACCGCTGAGATTTAGTAGAATCACTTATAAACTAATGCAAAAATAAACAAAATCTCTATTAACAGAATGGGTTGATTGTCCCAAAGTAATGCTTAGGTAATTTCTTAAGAAATAAAATGTTCTGGCTGGGCTCGGTGGCTCACACCTGTAATCCTAGCACTCTGAAAGGATCATTTTTGAGCTCAGGAGTTCAAGACCAGCCTCAGCAAGAGACCCTGTCTCTACTAAAAATAGAAAAAAAAATTAGCCAGGCATGGTGGCACACACTTGTAGCCCCGGCTACTCAGGAAGCTGAGGCAGGAGGATTGCTTGAGCCCAAGAGTTGCTGAGAGTTAGGAGAGAGTGCTGACGCCATGGCACTTTAGCCTGAACAACAGATCAAGACTGTCTCAGGGGGGCGGGGGAATAAAATGTTCTAATGGTTTGTTTATTCTAGCACTTGCTAAAGTTTTTAAAAGACGCTATGTAAATAAAGCATTTAAAGAGGTAAAACCTCTGTAAAGACATTATTACTCTAATTGGGAGCTAATAGCATCATGCTATTAAATACCGGATTTCAATATCGGTATCTAAAATTCATTTTATTGTGTCTGCTAGTCTTTGGTACAACAGCTATAGTTGTATTCTTACCAGACTAAAACCAAACCTCACACATTATCTCCTCTTACCTTTTTGTACTTCAGCAAGACTTCTGTCACAGTTCCACCAAACCGAACAGTTTTTCTTGGGGGAGAATTGAAAAAATCATTCTCTAATGCAAGCATATCTGAAATCCTGTAGAACCAAGATTATCAAATTATTATTAAGTTCATGATAAAGAATAACAAAAATTATAATAGCCAACATTTACTGAATCAACATTGTTCAGTGGAATTGCTGCCGAGCGAGGACTCTTAACTGGTTTCCCTGCTTCCACTCTTCATCTCCCAACAATCCATTCTAGGGATCTTTCAAAAACCGTCTTCCCGCTGCACTCACAATAAAGACCCAAACTCCTTACTGATGTAGGTTTTCAAAGCCCTACATTGACCTGGCCCCTCTGCTGACCTCTCTGACTTCATTTCAACCACTTGTTTTACTACGGCCATAGTGTCCTTTCTGTTCTTCAAACTTGCCAAGCTGGTTCTCATTTCACTGGCTGTTCACTCTACCAGAAACACACTTTTCCAAGATCTATACATGGTTGGACTCTTGTCTTCACTCAAGCTGAAGTTCAAATCTACCCATCCTCTCCCTTCCCCCTCCCATTACCCTGTCATATTTCTTCACAGCACTCATCACTATCTGAAATCATCCTGTTCATTTATGTACTGCCCTATTTACTGTCTCTCCTCCCTAGACTGTAAGCTTTGTTGAAAGCGGGGATGTTAGTCTCTTTGGATAAACTACCGTCCCTTCGTGTCTAACACAGTAAGTAGGAGTTCAGTAAATATTGTGAATTATATTATGCTAAGTGTTTTACAAGGTTCGCTTCACTTAAACAGTGTAGGTTAGTGAAAAAAATATAGCATCTTACTAATGACTCTGAAAGTTAAACCCCAAAGTGTTCTATGGGGGTTAGGGGCTTTTAAAGAGGAGCAAGACTAAGACTGTTAAACAAATATGTGTGTCGAAACAAATGTCAAACAAAAAAATGTAAAGATTCTATTCGCCATGAATGACAACATTCGGCTGATAATCCAAACAGCCCAGGGAACTCTTTCCAAATCTAGACGAAAAAGCAGGAGGGAAGAGAAGTCGAGGAGCAGAACGCAGTACCCACGGGCCTGGGACACTATGAGGGAATCAATCCAGTGGGGAGACAGGGACCTCTGGAAAAGAGAACAGACTCACTTTTCCAGACATCTCCCATCTCCATTACCCACTTACGGGGAATGGGATCACTCTTGCGACCCCGAGGTGACCCTGTATCCCCTGCTCCTACCTCCCTCTACTAGCTTTGTCCCAGACCCTTTCAACCCGTTCCCGCAACCCGGGTCCTGGGCTTTGGTCCCAGACGCACAGAAGGAAGCGGCCCGAATCTTACCCGGTCCCCGACGCGCCCAGCTTCTTGACCGCAGAGGCCGGAGCGGACGCATCACCGAGCAACCTCGTGTGAAGCAGCGGGGCCGCCATTGGGCCGAAATAACGCTACCGCTGCGCCTCACGCCGGAAGCCGTGCCCCTTCGAGCCCCAGCCTCCGCCCCGGAAGTCGTGCAAGTAGAGCGGCGGTCTTCAGCCAATCAGGGCGCCCACGCTGGGCGAGAGCCTTGAGCTCGGCGGGCTAGAGCGCCGCTAAAGCCGTCTCCTTCCAGCCCCGCAGCAGGCCCCGCCTACGTGGAGGACTAGCTCAGCCCGGCGAGGCTGGGGCGTTGGGGGCGGGCTCAACTCTGGGGTGAAAGGCTGCGTAGGGCTGGAGCTGTCCGGCGCTGAGGATTCCAAAGTAAAGGTGGGGACGCCCAGGAGGTGCTAAGTGGTGGCCGGGTTTCCCTGAGTATTAATTTCTTAGAGTCAAAGCCTTCCTCAGTCAAACTGAAGAAATCGAAGCCCAGTGATGAACCCAAATCCTCGCAGAGGAAAGAGGATTCGAACCTGGCCACGTCGCTCAGAGGCCCCGGCTCTATTCCCACTGCATTATCCTCGCAGACACCCCAGATAATCTTATCCTCTTGGAAACAAACTCCACGATGGGACCTACTCAAAAGCCTCAGGGCTGTGACGATGCTGGGGTGAGAAATCAGAGGCGAGAGAGACAGTTCCCAGGACGAGTTAGCCCTTGAACTTAAATTTTTAAAGGAGGAATAGGAGTCTGCCAGACCTACACAGCAGCGACAGGTCATCCAGGCACGGGGAACAGCAGAGGCCAAGGCGTGGGGGCCGCGGGGGATGCAGAGGGAGAGGAAGGACCGCCCCTCTCCTCGGTTTCTAGGAGGGGAAAGCGTTGCAACTTTTGGAAACTGTATAGAACTGTCAAAAGGACGTAAAACCAGCTGCAACAATTTGTTAAACATAAAACATAGTTCTGTTTTTTAACAGTGTAAAATCAGTATCTGCCTTTCTGCTGCCTCTTTCTGGTCCTTACTGAGTCCCGGGGAGTTCCTGGAGAATGATGGGCAGAAATATCAGTGTCCCAAGAGCAGAGGAAATAAGGGCACCCTAGCTTACAAAGATGCTTCAAGATAGCTGTTTAAATGGGAACCTCTTCCCCTCCACCCCAAAACAAAGTAAACACACACACACAAATTTATGAGCACAATTCATACCAGTAGAAGTGTAAATATACTGTCAAGCAATTTGACAATTATTTTATTCTTTCATTTAAAAAAGAAGGCTGATATGTACAAAAGAATATATTAATGTCAGTTATAAAACATAATAAAATGAACACCTGGGAATGGACCACCCAATTTAAGAAACAGAATAGTAACCTGTACTATTGGAGCTTCCTGTGTGCTCCTCCCAGATCCCATCTTCTCCCTGCTTTCCTCCCAAAAGTAATCACTATCCTGATTTTTTAAAAATCATTTTAACTTAACTTTATGTAATTACCATATATATTCTTAAACAATATACTATTTACTTTTGCTTGTCTTTGAATTTTATAAAATTATTTCTATGCTGTATTATACCACTTCTTGTTTTCAATCAACATTATACTTCTAAAATCCATCCCTGTTGTAGGTAGTTGTGGTTTATTTTCTCTGCCATATAGCATTACATTATATGAATATACCATGACTTAATACTTATCCATTTTCCTATCATCAACATTTGTTTCCTTTTTCTCTTCCCCCCCATTATGTAAATTGCTGCTATGAATACTCTTGTACAGTGTCCTGATGCACATGTGCAAGTGTTTTTCTAAAGAATTGTTGGCTTGGAGAGTATACAAGGCATGGCCAAAAAGCTTTCCAAAGTGGCTGTGCCAATATACACTCCCAACAATATCTTCTTAAGCTCCTTATTTTCCCAAAGCACAGCTAGGCTGCCATGTTGTTTTTTTTAATTTATTTATTCATTCATTCATTTATTCAGAGACAGGGCCTCATTATGTTTGCCCAGGCTGGTCTGAAACTCCTGGGTTCAAGTGATCCTCCCACTTCAGCCTACAGAGTAGCTGGGACTACAGTCGAGTGCCACTGAACCTAGCTTTTGTCAAAAAATTTTAATGGAACCCTGACCATAATACAAAAAATCCTTAAAACTAAATAGCATAATTCACTGTTAGAGTTCTTTGGGGAGTCTCTATTCAGTCGACTCGTTCCAGGGGCCAACTCATCTTGTCAGGATAAAAGCCTCCTTTATTCAGTCTTGCCTTCCCCAGAGTCCCATCTTCCTTTGTCTCCAGCCCTAGTCAAAGAGAATCAAGACCCTCCTATCCAAAAACAGAAACAACAAAAAAGCAAACAAGGATTAACATGTTACTTACAAAGGCACGGCCCTGCCCACAATGTAGCTGTCCTTTCGCATCACGGTGCATTATGTTGTTTGTAATTGTTCTGAGCGTCTCCATTCCAGAATGAATTTTTGCTTTACTTTCACATACCCAGAAGACCCACTAAACTATTTTTTCAAAAGGCAGTCATTTCCTAGAGATACATTTTACAACCATCCCTAGAGTAGTTCTGTTGGTTAAAGCCTCTTAGCTTGCTAGTATCAGAAACTAGCTTGAGCTAGCGTAAGCAGAAAAGGAGTTTGTCCTAAGGATACAAAGATATTGTAAGGCACCAAAAAAGAATTTCTTGTTGGCTAAATTTGAGTAAGTTGCCGTCCTGTAATCTAATCAACACTGGCTAGAAAGATGAGGTCAGAATGGCTTCCAAAGAGTCTTTGCTGTCGATGAGAAGGTCACTACAAATGCTCAAGAAATGTTTTGGAAATGGCTGAATGGTAGGGAGGAGCCAGATTAACAATTTCTAAATAGCAAAAACAACAGCAGATGTCCCATTTGTTCCTTCCTCCTTTCCAAAGAGTCAGCAAGTATTTTATGAGTCAATTATCTTTATAAAAACTCCACATTTATAAAAACAAAAATTCGAGATCTCAGCTATGTCTTTGGTAATATACATGCATGTATACATATACACACAAACATATATTCTCCCTCTCAAAGATAATGAATTTAGACCCTTCCTTACCCTAATAGCACAGAGAAGTATAAAGTAGTTTCTCAGCTTTGGCATTATTGATATTCTGGGCCAGCCAGATAATTCTTGTTGTGAGGGGAAGGGGACTGTTCTGTGTGCTACAGGATATTTAGCAGCATCCCTGGCCTCTACCTACTAGATGACAGTAGCACTACCCGCCTCCACATAGTGATAAGCAAAAATATTTCCAGACATTGTCAAATATCCCTGGGGACAAAAATCATCCCAATTAAGACCCACTGGTATAAACACAAAAAAATATTTGAAACAATGCAAGAACAAAAAAGTAAAGTATAATATACAAAATTGTATTGTAAAAAGTCCTAAAATTTCCATTTTTGCTTTAATATTCTTGAGAGAACATATGCAAATCACTTTCCATTTTATTCTGCTGGAAAACAATGGTGGTACAAGAGTCTCATGCTGTTTAATTCCTACTTGGAATATGTTTTTCAGATTTATTTCTATTTTTAATTTTTTAGAAACAGGGTCTTGCTCTGTCCTCCAGGCTGGAATACAGTGGTGTGATCACAGCTCACTGCAGCCTCAAACTCCTGGGCTCCATTGATCCTCCTGCCCCAGCCTCCCAAGTAACTGGGACTATGGGCATGGCTAATTTTTTAATTTTTGCAGAGACAAGGTCTCGATATGTTGCCCAGGTTGGTCTCAAACTCATGGCCTCAAGCAATCCTCCTGCCTCAGCCTCCCAAAGTGCTGGGATTATAGACATAAGCTACTGTGCCTGGACATTTTTCAGATTTTTACCAAGAGGATGCTACAAAGAAAAGTACAATAGTAAAAAAAGAAATGACTTCTGAAGAGACCAAATCTCATCTTTGTGTTCCCTGTAGGAGCTAGCACTTAGTATGTACTAAGTAAAAATCAATTTTATCACTTTTTAGTAACTCCAGTTTTGAAAGTCTTGGATAAGATCAAAGGTAAAAATGAGACTCTGAGCTCTGTCATTTTGTTTTACACTGTCACTATCCCTAGCCTTTTCACAATTGAGCTTTGACTATGGCAGAGAAATTAAATGAAATGCTTAGAATAGTGCTGAATAGAACACACACTGATTTTTATTCAGGCTAATGTCAAGTATGACCTTAATTACTAGAAGAATAAAACTAAATCCAACATACTTAAGTATATTTTATATGTCCCAGGGGAGAAACAAAAGAAAGGGAGAGATGATTCCAGACTTCAAGGAGCTTACAAACTTGTTAAATCAGACTTTAACTTGCATATTAACAACTTTAGAGAAATTTGAAAAGGGGCACAAAGGGGAAGGTACAGAATATATAGTATATAGTATAGTCAATATACAGTGTATGTGTAGACACCTTTACTTTTTTTTTTTTTACCGAGCCCATTCTTCTGCAGAACACTTTTAGTAGAGAAAGTAAAATTATCCTTTTTCAGTTCAAGTTCAGATCTCTAAGTTGATTATTTTAAAGGAGGTTATTTATAATACAGTGAAATGATAATTATACTGATCAGGTAGGAAAAGGACTCAAACTCAGGATTGTAAGATTTTAGTTCAGCGTCTGCCATTAACTAGCTATGTGATCTTAGGTCACTTATGATTTTTTTTAGGTTTTTTTGGGGGGTGGGAGGGTGGAAGGGACTGGACTACATGGCCTTCGGGCATCTTAAAGTCAATGGTCGATCATTAGCTATGGAACAAGGCCCATATTTACTATTGCTTAGAAACATTAGATTGTAAACAACCAAAGTATCTATCAACAGGAAACATACGATACATCCATTAAATGTAATACTATGTGTTCAGAAAAAGAATAAGAAAACTCTTTAACTCCTAAAATGGAAAGCTTTCCTAGATATATGTTAAGTGAAAAAAGCAAGGTGCTGCACAGTATGTAAAGGAACACTGGCATATGTAAACTCTTTATATATATATGATATATATAAGGAACATATATGTGTAATATATGTTCATCATATATAAATATATAAATGAAAGAATTGACAAGAAACTAATAGCATTTAATTTCTGTCAGTAGAACTGTGCCAAGTGACAGAAGTAGGGTTATAGCGAGATTTCACTGTGTGCCAT